AAGGGGAAATGGCATATTTTTTGCTTCTCCTCCATGTTCCAGGGGTTGTTCATGCAGTTCCCATGAGTCACTGGACAAAACAAAAAAAATGCTGGGACCAGAAGCAGGACAAAGCTATTTTCAAAGTCCTTCAATATTGGAGCCACTCCTCGGATGTTTTCTGATCCTAGCTCATCAATGCTATCCTGCATTACCGATAGCAGAACTGCGAGCCAGCGCCAAATGCAGTCATAACAAAACCTCTACTTTTTACCCTATTCCTTTCTTCATACATCCAAAACCCAAACTAATCCAATAACCACCATGTCACATCCAGAATCCATGTACAGCTGATTACCTACAGTTATTCTCAAAATCTAATCAAAGCTTTGTGAAAGACTTCCCCAAAATAAAGTCGGCATTATTTGCTCCTAAATGTAACTGATCACCATTTGGCCAAACTGAAATGGGCTGTTTGTTTGCAAAATGTGTTTTAGGTGATTCAGGTCATTCTGCACTGGAGAGTTTCCTGCTCAGAATTTACCACTCTCTTCCCCCACTTTTGTATGAATTCCGAATTGTATCAGTAATGAGTCTGTATTTCTTTCAAGTCACTCACTGATAAAGTATATTATAGTATATCAACAGAGTGTTTTGTCTGCCTAGAAACAAAATTTTCCACTGATGAGTCTCAACTTATTTTATCAGTCAGGTTTTTATTCATTTAATAAGCTCCATGTTTATTCACAGTACCATTCCAGTTTCTTAAATCAAAATGCCTTGTGCTACTTTTTTGTATACATGGCACCGACACTATGATATTTTCCAACCAAATTTATAATTCATTTAAAACCCCACATTTGATCAAAAAGAACTGTTTACCATTATTTCCAATCCAAATAAGTCTATTCTAATAGCATCATTAACTATCCGACATTAGATTATTTCATTGTTTTGCTCAGGCCTAATGTTAGACTGACAAACCTGTAAATTATCCTAATTGCAAACATTGTAAATATTAACACAGTAATTGCTTTTTTTGCAGTCTTTTGGAACTTCATCTCTGCTCTAAGATTTATTCAAAATCAGCACTAGTCAAAGAAAGCTGTGCCAATTAATTCAAGAGTGTTTTATCAGAGTTCTTTGGATTTAATTTTAAAATATCTAGCTTTAGCATCTTCTGCTTTAAATACACTTCAGTCATTAACACGACAGTCACCATTATCATCTAAGATAAACATCTCACCAGCTTTTTCCCTATGGAGGGAACAGAGCCTTTAGTGCACACTTCTTTTCCAAGCTTTCTTCTGTACTTTTATGACAATTCTATTATTTCCATAAAGGAATGGATCAATGTAGTTCTTCAAACTTCTCCCTCCTCTTCCCTCCTCCATCTATAATTTGCATCCACATGACAATTTTCTTCTTGTGTCATTTTCTTCTCTCTAATCGTTCACAATCCCGGGCTTTCTGTAATTTCCACACTTTATCCTTTAACCTACATTTTAGATGAAGCATCTATAAGCATTCAAGATGCTAAGATCTCTAAAACTGATAGAGCCATTTGGGTGCAGAGGCTGACTCATTGACTGCTGCCCTGCCACACCGTACCAGAATTATTTTCTGAACAATGCTCCACATGGTTCATGATTTTCCAGGCCTCTAAACTGCTCCTCTTCCACTGTCTTTTCCCAGACTCAGGAAATCCAGTAAATCTAATAATTTCTCAGCTCCCGGTTATCTTTGTCTATACTGCTGTATTTAATGATCCTCTAAGGTCTATCTGCAAGAAGGATTCAAGCCATTTTTGGAGAGTCCTAGCTTTGAGCATGGGGCAAACATCAATACCAGTTGTTTTAGACAAAGCTACCAGCACAAGCATTAAGGCAATCTGTCAGGCAATAAGAAGGGCCCGAAAACCTACTACAGGCACAAGAGCTACCTTTCTCCATCACATCACACCAAAAACTTCTATCAAGTCTTCAAAATAATTGTATTCTCCATCAGAGGAAGGTGAAAAACTATTCCTACCCCCTTCCTGCCATTGGTCAAAAAGGAAAGAAGAATACATCATTTATAATAGTAGCCATGTTAATGAGAAGTGATTAAGGATAAACTTCAGGAAATGTGTGTCATATTCCCACTGCTGCCAAAAAATACCTGTGTGAACCTGAACAAGTAATTCCGCACTTGAGTTTCCTCGCTGTGTAATGAGGATTGCTGAGATTGAGAGACATGAGATTGCACGGTAAAGTGCTGAGAATGTATGTGAAACATGTTAATTCAGTTTCTAAAAGCCTTTCACAAAGAACAGGAGAATTAAATTAATGGCAGATTGGAAAGACAGATTGTGAACCTTCTGTACCTTGATCTATAGTCCAGGTGACAGAAGAGTTAAGTGCAGGAAGAGAGACATCCCTCATGAATTGCCAGGCCCCAACATGACTGGTGAATCAAAAAGCCATGCTGTTAGTGAAATACTGACTTTTATATATTAAAGTTATACATCACACTGTGATTTCAAACTTTACCAAAGAAAAAACATCTCACTTGAAAGTGAACAGCAACTTGGGAGCTTCTTTATGTAGCAGCAGCAGCAGGGACTGGCAAACATTTAGTTAGAATTAAATAAAATACTGGAGTCTGATGCTAGCCATCATTCACTAGCAGCAAAGATCCTACCTTCACACTGAGGAAAACAATATTTAGGATAAGATGTGTGGCAATGGACTTTGCTAGTTGATTTCTTTCTTATCAGAAGTTGGGCACTGCCAGTAGTTTCTTACTGCTTTGTTGCACATATTGAACAGAGCTTCAAATATGCTGTTAGGAAAAACTCTGGGTCTTACATGCTCAGTCAAAAAGGTCAGTTAAAAAAACAATTTCAGATGTTAAGTCGCAGTTGCATGGTTATTCCAAAGTTATTTGCACTTCCATAAGCAGAACTGGACCCAAGTCTGGGGAAAAAAAACCAGCATTTACTGAAGCTGCAAAAAGGGGCAACTACTGAAATGTTCTTCCAGTTGTCACCAAGACAAGCACTCATCAAAAGAGAGTTCCAAGACCAGTAAGAGGAAAAACAAGGGCCTCATAAATGGCAAAGTGGAAGTCATTAAATAGTATCATGTAATACTACACATGAGCGAGATAGGCTTTGGTATATTTTTTTTCTTCAGGACTGAGATTCATGCAGCTTTCTCACCTTTCTTTGGGAAAAGGAGGTGATAAATGGAAAAATCAAGTTTTGGCTAGAAACCTCTGCCTTCTTCCAGCACTACAACCAGAAGGAAGGGATGTCACACCAGAAGGAAGGGATGTCATCCAAAGAGACCTGGACAGGCTGGAGAGGTGGGCCTGTGTGAACCTCATGAGGTTCAACAAGGCCAAGTGCAAGGTCCTGCACCTGGGTTGGGGTAACCCCCAGTATCAATACAGGCTGGGGGAAGAAAGGATCAGAGTTCCAAGACCAGTAAGAGGAAAAACAAGGGCCTCATAAATGGCAAAGTGGAAGTCATTAAATAGTATCATGTAATACTACACATGAGCGAGATAGGCTTTGGTATATTTTTTTTCTTCAGGACTGAGATTCATGCAGCTTTCTCACCTTTCTTTGGGAAAAGGAGGTGATAAATGGAAAAATCAAGTTTTGGCTCGAAACCTCTGCCTTCTTCCAGCACTACAACCCTTTCCAAAAACATCACATTGTTCACTTTGTTCAAACCCACCAAACAAGCACCTTTCGGTAACACTGAATATTTTAGCTTCCCTGGCATCTACTGTTCCTCCGTGCCAGCAACTCCTACGTCAGACTTAAAAGGTCCAATGCAGAAAAGAACAAGGCCAATGTTATAAACATATTCAGTCACTGATGGATTGCAGAATTCTTTTAAACAACTGTCCTTTCCTGCAAGGTGCAAAGGAGTAGAAACTTGTGCTGTCAACAGAGCTAAGTTATTATTATTCTAGATGCAGATTAGCTTCACTAAGGAGGTATTTATTGCTTCACCTGCCTTGAACTACAACTGCAGACTCTTTGACAAATGGCTTGTAGCAGGTTTAATCTTCACAGAGGTCCATAGCCTTGTAAGTATTGCCACAAGTCAAACTGGTCTGTTGTGTAGCTATAGATCAGCTCTTGGGGTTATCTACTGTTTGGAGGAGTATCTATCTCTTTTCACCAAGCCTGTAATTTGGCTGGTAGGAGGCTTACATTTAGCAGACCAGCTTGCACTTCAACGCTTTGTGAAAATGATGAGGCCAGGACCTGAGGATGACAGATCCCACCCACAATTTTTATTGCTTTGAAGATTGTGTAGGCGCTGTGTAACTACCCCTAATGTCCTCCATTGAATATGCTTTCCTGATCATTTTAAAGCAAGCAAATTCTGTGAATGTATTGGTTTAATTTAATAGCAGGCCATCAGAAAAACAAATCACAGCAATGCTTCCAGAAGGATAACTTTATGTTCATCCCACACTGAGGAGAAACCTTTCCACCTTGTTTATGGGAAGACTCTACCGCTATGGCTTCAGCAAATGAAGGCAGCTCATTTTGCCAGTGCCAAGGACAGACAGGTCAAGGACATTGAACAATTAAAACCTTTGTAGCCAGAGAGCAACCACCAGGAGGCAATTCCAGGAAAACATACGGACAGGCACAGACACCTATTTGGGCACTGTATTTCTGTAGCAACACCACAAATTTTGTTAGCTAACTATATTCCTGAGAATACAGCTATGCAATTATCGCTTCATTGAATTACAACAGTGTTACACACAACATCTGCAGTATTTAAAGCAATACCACCAGAGGTTAGCATCGTCTACAGATTACAGTGCATAAGCACCATCATGGTAAGATCTGCAAAAGTCACTTTATTTGCCTTAGTGTATCACTCTCAACAAGTTAATGGTATGGCAGGAAAGATTAAAACCCCAGGCTTTTTTAAGCCTAATGAATTGTGTTTACCACCAAAGGACTCAACCACTACAGCGAAGGTGAAGCTTTGGAAATATCCTACCTTGCGAGAAGCATTTTTGTCTGTGCTTTCCACATCACCGTCCAGGAATGGCATGGCAAACGAGCTGAGATCCTGCCAGGACAGAGAAGAAAAATTGATGTCCTATATTAATGTCTTTTTCCTTCCATCAGAGCATCCCATGACTGCAGCCCGTGGTTTTATTTCCGAAGCGCCCACTGCTTTACCCATAGTGATTGCTGGTAAGCAGTAACACAGGCTCTGATCATTCTCCTTGGCTGTGAACTCAATAGCAGATGTAAGTAACAAATGAATAGGAAGCCCTTAGCAGTGCTTGCACTAAATCACCATGAAAAAGCACCTGCACAGCCAAAGCAAAGCCTTGTGCTAAAACTTTGAAAGGGAGGTACTCAAATCCCAGAGAAAATTTCATAGGAAATTATACGTGCTCAGCAAATGGCCTATCTTGCCTTTAGTGGCATGTATAATCTTAGTTTAAAGAGTATTTATGGCAATAAACAAAACCTAAATGAGAATATGTCGATGTTCTGTAAAAGATGTAACATAACAGAGGGAGAAAACTGCAACACAGTGCTTGGGGAGGAAATAACAAATTCACTTGCACAGACTGGAGAGAAGCACCCAATTCTGCATGGCTAAAGACAATAAAGCCATAAGAAAAGCACACATGCTCATCTTTAACTAACAAAAACAAACTGCAATTATATTCTACCTCCTGCCGTCTGTTCTGTTTATGCTACTTCGTGTTCCAGCCACGGGGTTTTTAGAGCTCTACATGCAAAAGGAAATTATGTTAGTGTCAAGTTTAGCATCTGTTTGATCAGAAAAGTAGATAATGAGTAATTCTGTGACAAAAAGCGTGGGGTTGCCTAATGCTGTGTGCTGAAGAACTGAGTCTTGGATCCCAAATCTTGATCTAAATGTCAAGACTACCTCCCCAATGCAGAACCACCCAGATGCAAGGCATCACCCTTTCCATGTAATGATTCAGTGCTTCTCTACCACCACATCTGCATCCCATTTAAAATAGTTCAAAACATAAATAAATGTTTTGTGCAAACCTAATTTGAGATTAAATAGAGTTTAATTAAAAATTAGCACTGGTCGAGAAGTCTGCAAGGCTTGCTTGCCTTCAGAATTCAGAGCAGCCACAGGTCTAATCACATCACATTGTGTAATCATACTAAATCCAAAATATGCTCAAAAATGTGTATAACTCAGGCATAATCCTTACAAGTGTTTGAAAATATTCTGGTTACATAATGAACAACGAAAATAAGGAACAAAATATTGAATTACTGGAACTGAAGCACATGGGAGTAATTCATGCCAAGTTGGAAAGAAAAAAAAAAAAAAGCAGCAGCAGCCAGGCTTGGCCAAGCTGGCCCTAAATCATTAGGCCACAAACCAAAGTATTCATGACAAATTAGTATGCTCCAGGGTCTATCTATGCAAATTCAATGGGAACTATCTACAAAGGCCCAAACTACAAAGCACCAACCCAACTATATAATGTCACCCTTATCACCACACTTTGACGTCTGTGTTTCACATCACCTTCATTTGCAAATAAAAACATAAGGAAACACCTCAAAGCCAAAAGAAGAGGCAAATTTGGTTTAGATTTTCGCTGTTATCAAGATTTGACAGGGACTGAACCAGGCACCACAGGATGTTAAAGAAAAGCTTCTCTATTAATTTGTTTATTCTTACAATTAGTTAAGACCAAAATGACTTACATACTCCATACAAGAGTTATTCAGCCATAAATGGCTTTTATAAACATTGTCAATAAATGGATTATTATTATTATTATTATTCCTACTTGATATGGAACTGCAAGACTTAAGTGATGAATCTCTGTAAAGAAGTTTAAGAGCCTAGTGGAAAGTTACACAAAAACATATCCCCTTGTGTTTACTTTAATTTAGCCAAAGGATTTACCAACATTTTCCTCCAGCCATCTCCAGTAGTGAAGAAGCTGGAATCTGATGTGTGCTAATTCATTTTCCATGGAATAAATCAAGGAAATAACATCTTTTGAGCTCCACATATTAGCATCCCTATATTACTTCTTGTAATCCGCAGAGAGAAAACCTGTTGTTTAGGAAGGCTGGAGACTGGATGGAAGAAACTGGGCTTAAGGGGACACATGTCCAGTAATCAGGATTGAAAAAGCTGTTCAGAAGATCTGGAACAGCTAGGAATGAAACTGTAACTTCTTTTTTTGAACAGAAAACCTCAAAAACAGGAGGGGGTAGGTAGGTAAAACTATTTTTCTAGGAGCTAAATTTCAGTTCCCAGTTACAATTCCAAGATTAAAAACATATATATATTAAATTCTAAAGTCTGAAAGTATCATGAAATCCAGCAGATGACTCTATTCTAATTTGCAACTTTCAGATATGGAGGTACGCTAACTTCATCTTTCTTTACATGCAGAACAGGAGATTTCTACTTGCAAGCAGAAATAACCGGAGTTATACCTCTGTGGACAGCGTGAGACCTTTCTTTGTTAATACAGTGCTGGAGAACATTTCAAACAGGATAATAATTGTACTTTTAGTCCTACGATAAAGTCTGTAATTGTAGCTGCTACCTAACATTTTTTTTTGTCTTTCACTTCTTCGCAAGATTCTATATGAGAAGGCATTTACAGAAGGAAAAAAAATATATATCAAATGCCAGGCTGCAAACACTGCTCTCTCAATTCCAACCTGTTGTTTAAGCAAGGAAATATCAGACGCTTATTTTCTCTTTGCATGTATCTCTGCAGAATACAGACTAGATCTCTACTTCTTCCTTATGTTCCTCTTCAACACACAGTTGATGATACAGTAACTCTTAAAAAAAACCAAACAAACAAAAAACCCCCACCCTGCTCCAAAAGTGTTGCAAAACACCACAGTACTCTTGACAGGCCAACGGTGCAGCCCAGCCCTTACCACAGATCTGACTGCTCTGATCTCACGCCAACTGATACACACTGAAGGCTCGCTCTGCCCTTAACCTGGGATCGACACCATTCTTAGACAGCGTGCTTGCTCTCCAGCTCTGCTTTACTGCGCTTGCAATAAGTGTCCTGGAAACTCACTTGGTTCTGGTGAGACATTCTAAAAACTTCTGCCAAAGGCGTACAGCAGCGTGTTGGTACAAGGAAGAGTGCTTCTCATTTGAGACCGCAGAGCCCTGGCTGAAGAACGAACAGCATCACTCCCTGTATCCATCAGTCCTGCATTACATCCTCAGACAGACACCTTCTGTAGAGATCACAGTCTGTGATCATTCCTGTAAGGAACAAAGGCCACCAGAGATTGCAGCTCCTACTGCTGCTAACCTGGAATTAAGAGTGTGCAAAGTCTGTTTTGCAAAGTTTAGTCAGCTTCCCTGCCATGCTCCTGTTCCTCAGTCGGTCCTTCGCACCGCTCAGTGCCCTCTGACAGCCAGACATCACTCCTGCCATCCCCAATTAGAAAAAATGACCTCTTGAGCAGCTGAGATTTACTTCACAGCCACAAAGCCGCTTCAGATTTATTTTGTTTTCAATTCACTTTTATTTACAAGAGGTTGTCATGGCAGCTCCTGTTATAGTCACTGAAGAATACAGCCCCAGGGATATCAAAGCTTTTTCCGGAGGACAGCAGAGCTGTGACACAGCAGAGCCACGGCTTGGTGCTCCTGCTACCAGCCAGGCTCCCTCCTGGGGAGAGCAATCTCCGACAACACCTACTCAACAGGCAATTTTCCAGGACTTTTCTTATTGATAGCACAGGAGGTTAACAGATCTAAAAAAGCAACTAAATTGACTTTATTGTTTTTAACAGGCTTGTCTACTGCTTTAGTTTTTGCAGGGTATAAGTCAGGATAATTCTGTCTGCAAGAGCACTTTCCTTCTCTCCCACTTCTTTCCCTATTTCTCCTCCAAAGGGGAGACTAACTCTAAGGTGATTCTTGTCTGGGTTATCCCTACATCTATAGGGCGTAGTCTTAATTCCAGCTCTTTTTCCTTTGCTAGCCCTTATACCAGAATACTTGGGATTATGTGAAAAGAAGGAAGAATAAAATTTTTGTTCTTTGATATCTTGGGAAAACAAAGAACCTTTTCTCAGAACTGTTTTGGAGAATAGGAAGGAAAACCACATTTTAGGATACAGAAAGCAAATACATTGGCTGGCATAGCATAGCCAAACAGCAACAGGAGTGAGATTTGGTTAGCTAAGCCATTTTTCACCTTTTCCAGGCAGTTTCACTGTTCCTTTTCTTACTGGGGAGGATTCCTGCCAAAAAGGCTTGCCCAGACATGCTGGTCTGGATGCTGCTGCATCCAGGAGACCTTGGTGTCAGAAGAAGGCTTCCAGCAATTCTGTTGCAGAGGCTGCAAGCTTAAGTAACAGACCACTAAAGCCTTGAATCCAGTAAACAACACAGAATAAACAGGATTCTTTTTTTATTATTGTTTTGTTTCAAGGCTACTTTGCCAGCCAGGCTGAAAAAGCTTCTCTGCAATGGCTGAATCCAAGGAGCCAGCAAGGCACTTCGGGTCATGCTGTGATTAACAGGTCAGAGACCAATTTCCAAGGTATTTTGGGTGGAAGTAGGACTTTTTTATGGCCCCGCTCAACAGTGGTCCAAAATTTCAGGGCTGGGTATCAAAAGAATATTTCACAAACAGCTCCCTGCTGCCATCCTTTGCAACTGTCCCTTCAAATGCAAGATATAGCCATGAATAACAGAGTCAGGTGAAGTCCTGGTGATGGGTCCATGACCCATGAACATGGTTGACTCTTTGGCAATGTTTCAGAGGTGACTCAGGTCAGAATGGCTTCATGGCAGCCCCATGGCCCATCTCTGCTGAAAGGCTGGGTTCCTCAGCTATAAGCAACTTCAGAGTCCTGGCACAGGTAGCATCATGCAGTCCTGACTACTGATGGTGTCACCTATGAGATGTTATTTTTCTGCTTCGTTAAGTTCTATATCTGTGCTAGGATTGCACCAAATTTAAGGATGTGAAATGCCTGCCAGACATTACAGTCTCTTTTTACAACATAACTCAAGCAGGAGGTGACACTTCACTAAGACAGCTTTTCAATATG